CCGTGTTGCGGAATATAAATGTCTTGCGTGGATAGAAGCCAAAGGCAACGATGTCTTTTATGTTCTCCACCACCAACCCGCTCGCCTTCTCCCCGCTGACGGGAATGTCGCGGAAGAAGTGCTTCTCATCATCGGTTATCTGAATCACCAACGGAAGACCGAGCGCATCCTGCAGGTACCGCGTCAATAAAAACGGTATGCAATGGCCAATGTGCATCGACTGCGCGCTCGGTCCACGGCCAGTGTACAAGTACGCGCGGTGTGTCCCCGTCGCAAGGGACGCACGCACGCAGTCAAGGGCGGTTCCAAAATCCCTGTGGGAGAAGACAATGCCGCGGTGGAAAAAAATGGTGCAATGCCATCTGTCCCGCCTCCCCTTGTGCGGTGCCGGTTGCCTGCGCGTGCTCCCCCCGTCCGTTGCATGTTTCCTCCAGCCGCTGCAGAAGGGGCTCATCAACGGGCTCCGACCCGAATAGTGCGAGGACGCGGTCATAGTCCACACCCCTCGGGCCCGTGGCGGCAACACCCCACGGCGTCACAACGTCCTCCTTGCGCTCTGTGCGGCTGGCATCATCCCCACGCGTCGTGGCACAACTTCGTCCTCCATGACCAACGGCGCAGCAAAGCGTGAGATGCGACGCATCACAAAAGAATCCAGACGACTACTTCGCCCGTGCACCACAGTGCCACACCGGACTGAAAACAAACAGGCAGGAGGAGAGAGGCAGGAGAAGAGAGGCAGCACACACCACCTGATGCATCACACCCAGAAAAAACAACAAAAAAAAAAAGGCGATAATGCACGCAGAGGTAAAACACGTTTCACCTCCGCTCTCTAGGGATGTTATGAATGATCTGCATCTTGTGTGCGACAAAAAACACATATGTACGTGCATGTCGGGTGTGCACGCATACACACAGAACGAGGAGACGAGACAATGCAGCATATGGAATCAAACGACAACGACTGCTAATTCCCCCGTACTTGCAAGAAGCAGCAGCGCAAAGGCGGAGATTATTGCGCCACGGCAGGCATGTAGCCAACGAGCGTTGTGCCACCTGAGGCAAAAACGCTTAGCACAACGGCCTTCCCATCCACAAGATGCAGCACAACCTGGAGGGGTGTCGCCTCTTTGATTGCAAGAAACCGCGCAAACCGTCTCACCTCCACCGACACTGAAGCGTAGGCCGTCGACGTATCGTCGCGGTGCTTCAGATTATCCCCGCCATTACTATCGCCTTCCCCATCAAAATCGGCGTCATTGTCACCCTCGCGCTCGCACTTTTGCACGGAGCTGTACTTCAGAGCAAAGCTGGCAAGGAAACATTCGGCCAGAACCACCAGAGTGCAGCTGGTGGCAGCAGCGCCATCCGCCCGCTCGTTGTCCCTCACTGTGAACGTCATGCGATCGCACGAGGTGGAGCGGACCTTGTCCACAAACTTTGACAGCTCCGCGAGGCACGGCAAAACAATTTGCACCATCTCGCTCTCGAGGAGAGGGGCGCTGATATGCCGCACTTCCAGCTCGCTCAGCACCCGCACTGGCACGTCGTGGCTGATGTCAAGAAGTGGGCGGACGCCCTGCATCAAGACACGCAGCGCCGGCCTTCTCGCCGCATTCTTCGTCAGTTTGATGGTGACGTTTGGGCAGCGCTCTGCCTGGCGCATGATGTAAAAAAGTTGTGAAATGTCCGCCACCTCGCAGAAGATGGCGTTTTCTTGCAGCTGCGACTGGGACTGGAAGTCGCTGAGGATGGCCTGCGTGCGGCATCCGGCCCATACCTGCATGCCGTCTGCAAACTGCGTGCTCGTGAAGAAGCGAATGCGTGTGGGGTGCAGTTTGATCACGCACCGACGCTGAATGCCGCGGCACGCCTGGCACACACTGGCAAGGGTGCGCTGGTCACGCACAGTGGCCTTGAACTTCATCAGCTACCTGCAGGGCCCCAGCCCACACAGAGAGGCATCAACGAGTACATGCCAGCGAAGAGAAGAGGAAGGAAGAGTGAAAGAACACAACCACAGAAACAACAACAGGCAAAATACAGGAAAGCCAAAAAAAAAAAAAAAAAAAGAAAAGTGCGACACCGGCGTGCAAGTCAACGTGGCGGGGAAAAAACAACAACAACCAAAAAATCCCCCCAAACAAACAGAAAAACGCATGGCAACTCACTAGGGGATGTTGTAAGTTTGACCTCACATTTACATCGCAGGGACACGAGCGGTCCTTCGCTTCTCCTCCCTCCCCCCGGCCGCTCTTCCCCGTTCCTTCCGCTAAAAACAAATTACATAACGAGCTCCAACGGGTGGGGTGCCACTTTCCCCGCCGTTTTTCGTGGTGCATCCGCTATTGTGGTTTGAGTGCTCATGAGATCCTTCAGCATTGCTGTTAGCACCTCCTCAATGCTGCGCCGTTGCACAACGCAGCCAATTTCACCATCATCGTCATCGTCATCGTCATCGTCGTAGTCGGTGTGCTGCATGACTTGGTAGCTGGCCACGAGCTCCAGCGCCAGATTTGGCGTGTAGCCAACTTCACACAGTGAGCCGCACTCTTCGCATATCAGTTCGCCCTGCTCCGTGAACATAAACGGCAGACACTGCTGGCAGAAGGTGTGGCCGCATGGCCAAAGCGTGCGTGGGCTCTCAAATATGTAAAAGCAACGCTTGCACGTTGATTCCAATTCAAGGGAGGCGTGAAATCCCATAACATTTCCTACGGCAACAATGGTGAGTTTTATGGCGCTGAACAGCCCACGCGCATGAAAGTAAAGGTCCTCCATTTCCTCCTCCGTGCGTCGGATCTCCTCATCCACGTAGCCGAGATCGTCCGGGTTGCATTGACAGCCAACATCGTGACCAGGGCGCCTGCCGCGTGTCAACGCAAAGCTCTCGAGAAACCTCTTCACAGCAGCGGTGTAGTCGTCCTTTATGTCCGTATTCTTTCCCAGGTCTCGCTGGTCGAGGCGGTGGGACTTGGCATACTCGTTTACTTCTCGCGTGAGCCTTATCGCAAAGGCGTCGCGATCCTCGCCAGGAAAGGGCTGCGACAGATTAACGACATCCATCACGGATTCCTTGAGGAACGCCTCCTGCTCAAGTACCTTCTGACGCAGATCCTGCAACGTCCGCCAGAGCTCCGGGTGCTCCTCGTATCCCTCCAACTCAAAGCGCTGTCGCAGCTCGTCGATCCTCACTTTTGTCTTCAACTCCTCCGCCGCCTCCGCCATGGCCGTGGCGGACGAAAGGCTCTCGTGCGGCGCTGTCGCCACGTACCCTTCGGGGAGCCGATGTCGCACGTTGGTTGCATAATTCACCAGCAAACTGCTTGTCTCCTTCAGTTCTCCCAACACGCCCCTCGCCTCCGTGCGTAAACGCACATGCTGCAACTCCTCGGGGAAAGTCGCCAAAAACAACGTAAGATCCTCATCGTCGTTGGCAAACAAACTGCTCAGTTCCCCAGAGTCGTATTCGCTCCCATCATCATCGACCACAAGCAATTGTCCCGCAGGTTTGCTCTTGGGCTTCCTCACAAAGGGTGGAATGTTCCTTCCTCTCGGACGCACTCTGCCGCTGCCGCCCGTATGTGTGGCCGCGCTCCTATTCGCTTTGCCATCGTACAAGAAGCGAGTTACTCTCTTCGGTCGATCCCGTACGGAGACATCGTCCAAGTACTCCGGAGACCACTGCAGTGATGACCGTGCGCTGGGCTGCGCGCCGGCCTCACTGCTGAGGTGACCGCTGTCTGCCAAAGATGCAACTCGAAAACCCCTTTCCTGCTGCTTCACCTCACGTAGGAAGCCATACACATCGATTCGATCAGCTCCCTCCGTCGAATGGCTCCGAGAGAGGCGACCAATTTCGTCGTCTTCTGCGGGCGTCCAGCCGCTCCTTGAGCCAGGCGTGTGCCGCCGCCGTCGTTTCCACATCGCCGGGCCCTTGTACTGCTGCCCGTTGGTGTACCCACCCACAATTGACGGGAACGGAGCGTCACCCCGTCCTCCTTTTTCGGATCCCGTCGACCCAAGAGCACCAGGGGCCTGCGTCAAATCGAGTGGGTCTATATCGCTAGAGGTAGCCGTGTCGCCCCCCGCTCCCCCGGTGTATCTCCTGCCGCTGGAACAGGATGTCCCACTTCCAGCGTGTCCCTGCCTTGATCTGTGCAAAACGGCCTCACCATCATTGGGACCTCGCAGTGGGGGAAGACGGGAGTAGGGGTCCGCAGAACCAATTCCGCCAGCTGCAGCCACCGCCGCCTCCTTGAAGGCCTGCCGCTCCTCCAATTTCACAGAATCCCCGAGAGCTTCTCGTTCCTCCTCCATGAGAGAAACCAACGAAGGCTTTTTCTCCCCGGAAGACAAGAAAGAAAATAAGTTGCGCTGTTCCCGGCTGCCAATAGAGGGAAAAAAGCGGTCCAAAGAGGACTGGGGGGCGCTGTCGCGCCTCATGGGACTGACGTGACTTTTTGGATCCACGCAGCTCTTGTATCGCTCCGAAACACTGCCCAAGTCACCGTGTTGCTTCTCGGCCATCGCCGTACGTCGCCTCTCTTGCAGCAACGCCTTCGCCAGATCATGAAAGGACTCACTCGGGCCTTCATTGACGCTTATGCTGGAGCCAGCAACGAGTCGCGCGGCATGTTGCTTCGCGGCATCCGACCCCAATAGGCGAGTCAATTCGTTTCGAATACTCTCCTCATCTCCTTCAATAATTCGTGCAAGCTCTCCCGGTGTGACTATGCCGCTCATCTGCAGACGCCCCAGCTGATGCGCCAGCACACTCATGTTCGACAGTTCCTCGTCTCCTGAAAACATCAATGACGCCAGGGACGCAACCCCAGCGGATGGCAGAGGTGCGTGATGAAGTGACGTCATGTTTCCTGCGCCATCAACAGAGAGCATGCTTTGAGAGAGCATCGCGTGTCCTGTGGCCCACTCCGTGCCTTTTCCTTTCTCCATCCAACGCGTCATGAGGGTTTCGTAGACTTCGGGTTCAAGCCCGATTGCCTGAGCTGCAGCTAACATTACTTCACGTGAATCCGCAATCCTCCACCATGCCGAGGCTCGTACACGTCTACCGAAGAGCTTCCGCGCAAACGCCCTGGCATCACG